TCTTTTCGGATTAGGGAGTCGAATGACACAAAGGAATTGGGTGACATTGCTCTACATTTGAAACTGAAAAAAAAATCCCGCAGAATTCGTTCAGTCACAGGCTGTATTGTACATCAAAATAATTCAGGCAGTCCCTGCTTATAAATTGCTTAAAGATAGTAAACCTTTCTACTGCTACTCCTTGGCCCCTTCTTACTGCTGTCTTTCTGCCACACCCCTGATCTTCTGGTAGGAAAGATCTACACCTAGCCTTCTCGGACAAGGGCGAAACATCTTGGGAGGGCCCGTGTGCAAGTTGCGCACGTTAAAGATCCCTTGGTGGTCTAGAATCGATAAGAGTAGGCTTCGGTCGCCACCCGGGCAAAATTCCAAATTTCCTACCAACTGAAAATATTAGGTGTGTCCCGCGCGCTCATATGACCTAATGCAAATGCGAGCGCCGTAAAACACTTTCAAAAAAAAAAAAAAAGATAGTAAATGTTTTACGCCCACATCGAAAGAGTTTAGATGACTTAAGAGACACTCCCTGCATAATTTGTTGAAACACATTCTGAGCTGCTTAAGTCATGTTAGTAGAAGGATCTCTTTAAATTGCAATAATTCTGTAAGTGTTTTTTCTTCATCCCCACTTGCGTAATTGAGATATTTTTGGAGCTATCGAAACATCTCTCGTCCTGATCTCTTCTCCTTCTTTTTTGTGTTTGTTACTCTCTTGCACCACCTCTGATCTTCGGCACTTAGATGACCTTTTTGTGTTGCAAGTGCCGGAGGGAAAGAACAGAAGAAGGCGATAACAGCAGCACTCTCCAATCACGCACGCAGTGACGTAGTACGATAAATACATGGGCATTAAAAAAACAACAACAACCCCCCCCCCAAACCCCCCCCCCCCAAAAAACCCCCCACAACAAAAGCAACAACAAACAAACAACAAAAACAACCATACCAACATAAAACCACCAATTACCCTCCCCCGCAAAAACCCCCAAACACAACAACAACCCAACGTTCCCTAAAACAACAACAACAACGGCAACACCAACAACAAAATCGACAACGTAAAAGAGCACCCGAAGCTCATGGGAAAAAAGTAGAAGATGGCGCCTGGTGGGTTCAATAAAAACAAAATAAGAAACAAGAACATCTCATAAGGTCACCTCAGTCGGAGTGCCTGGGGTGAACAAGAGGTGGATTTATTTATTGTCTGGGATAGCAGCAGCAGTTGTAAAGTGTACCAGCATAACAGGGTGAAGGGTCTGGTCAAGTCATAGACAGATTTATTGAAGACCTCGAGTGGGTCACAGGAACATTTTCTCACGTTTCATTTAGCTCAGTTCTCTCTTTCTCTCTCTGTCTCTGTCTCCCGCTCTCTCTCTCTCTCTCTCTTCCTCGCGCTTTCTCTCACACACACTCTCTCTCTCACACATACACCCCCTCTCTCTCTCTCTCTCTCTCTCTCTCTCTCTCTCTCTCTCTCTCTCTCTCTCTCTCTCTCTCTCTCTCTCTCTCTCCGGTACGCTCTCTCGCGCTCATGTTTCTTGTTCCCGTCTCTCTCTCTCTCTCTCTCTCTCTCTCTCTCTCTCTCTCTCTCTCTCTCTCTCTCTCACACACACACTCTCTTTCTCTTTCACTCTCTTTCCTGTTTGTCATTCTTCCAATGCATCTGTATTTCTTTCGTTCACTCACAAAGTCCCCTAACTCTGAGAGGACACAATTGCTAACAAGACCAAAGAAATTCACTGAAAGAGAAGTAACCAACTTGAAAAACAATCATTACCGTACTAAAAATGCACAAACAAAATTAAATGCTCAACAAAAAACAAACAAAACAAACCTACTGCTATACCTCTTGCTTTCCAGACACAGTTACCAAAAAAAAGCTATTAAATCGGGCGTGTTTTAGTTGTATACAATATAAAGTGACATGGTACAAAAATGGTACAAAAAACTTCAGATTTGACTGTTATCTGAAACATCACTTTCGGTACATACAGGTAGTGAGTGACAGCCTTACTACTTGAGATCTCTACATACGATCAGACCAGTTCTAACGGCCACCAGTCCAAGACAATCACCAGTACAAACGTCAAATTTTCCATTTCCTTTCAACATAAAAAAAATAAAAATACATGTATTGTAAGACATCCACCTGTCCAAAACAATCACCAGTACAAACATCAATTTTTCACTCCCTCTCACATTTCTAAACAAAACTTTTGTGACCTTCAAGACGCTACCATTTTTGTTCCGCCATCCTACATATATTTCCAAGAAAGACGAAAAACAACACCCGTCACTACCCGGGTGATTTCGCCCCCCCCCCCCAATCTCCCCCAACCCAAAAAACAAACAAACAACAGAACAAACAAAAACAGAGAAACAATCCCCCCCAAACCAAACAAGCAACCCCCCTACCCCCCCCCCCAACCCCCCCCCCCAAAAAAAAACAACAACAAAAAACAAAACAACAACAACAACAAAAACCCCAACTTAATTAACCGCCCAGGTTAGCAACCACTGCTCTAAAATAAGATCTGTATTTTTTCTGACCAACAACATTCTAGACTACTAGACTTTTTCCATCCCGCAAATCTACGGTGGTGCTATGAGGTGCTAATGGTGCAAATTTGTATAAAAACGTTACTTTTTTTCTTCCGCGTGAATGAAATCTTGTAACCAGCAGGATATAATACACAATAAAGCTACAGGCTTAGGAAAACAGTTCAATTTAAAAAAAAAAGTAATGGATTATCAACAGAATAAAAAAACCAACTATACAGATGGATTGATAGAAGGTTGAATGAACAAACGAGTCCATCAAAGAATAAATACATAAATGAAAGATGAATTGGCGAAAGGGTGAAAGATATGAACAAGAGAAAGCAGGGTGAATGAACGAATCAATAGATGCGCAGGGTGAATGAACGAATGAACATATAAGAGAAAGAAAGAACTGAAGGAGGAATGAATAAATCAACGAATGGATAATAGATGAGTGAATGAAAAAATTGATGAAGGAATGAATAAATGAACGAATCGGGGAATGAATGAAAGAACCACGAATCACAGACAGGTAGAAACAAAAGCTACTTCATATATGTACCAGGACACACTATGCATGTCCCTGGAATTAATTTGCTATACAAATTCTTGAAAAGATAATTTTAGGATCTCACAAAAATGTATCGGTATATAATATAGATGCATCATCATTTGCAAACTGCGGACTCTCAGATGTAGATAATTCTAGAACGCCCATAGAGACTAAGAGTGCGCGAGTACATTATCATAAACATACAAACATTCGCCGTATGACATGCTTTGTGTTGATTTGTACTATAATAATTCCCGTTTAGTAAAATAAAAGTAAAAGCAAAGTGTATGGCTTTAACGTCCTTATCAACACTATTAGGTACTAAAAAAAGTCGCGACCTCGGTGCTTTCTTGTCGTATCTCCATTTTTTTAATACTGAAAATGTGACATCTTCTAAAGTACACTCTTTGTTATGAACTGTTTTCACTGTAATTAGAAATGGAGATGGGACAAGAAAGCACCGAGGCTGCGAGGTGGGACCTCCGAATTTAACGTTCGTCTCCGATAGGGCCGAGCCAAATGGGTTGAGAGCCTTGACAACTCCACAAAACAGTCTGAGTTCAAGAACGCCCAGTCTGGGATTCGAACCAGAGTCACCCGATCAGTAATCCAGCATGATACCAACTGAGCTAACAGAACACCCTCCTATTTGGTTGAAAAAATGTCTTTGAAAGCACTGGATTCCAAAACGTCCCCAAAAGCTGGACAAATGACAATGCTAAGTAATACAAAATTAATTTCAAATTGCACAGAACACGGGAATTCATCGTGATAATTTTGGGACGATAGAGAAAAGAGAAAACTTTTCAACAGCAGCAATAGTTGCGACAAAACTCCGAGTTGTCGGGAATTTGAGTTAGTTCAAAAAAGCACTCAGCTCGCTGTGTTGTGGGAATCAAGAATGGTGGTGTGAAAAAAAATGGTGAAATGGTATAGGTTTAACACCCCGCCCCTATCAACATTATTATAAGGTTATTTAAGAGGTCGGACGTCCAAAGTTAACGTTCATCTCCGAAAGGACCGAGCCAAGTGGGACCTCCGAAGTTAACGTTCATCTCCGAAAGAACCGAGCCAAGTGGGAAATTCGTGTAAAGTGCCTTTCTCAAGGACACAACGTCGGACCGAGTCGACTCTCGAGCCCCCGAACTAGCAACCTCACGATTCCGGTAGCCTAACCACTAAACCACCGACGCCACTAATGGGGATAATAATAAATAATAATAGATAGCATTTGTATAGCGCATACCCCGGCTCAACAGCAGGCTCTATGCGCTTTACACTATATTATTACCCCAGCAGACCATAGAACACTCCGAAACATTCTCAGCTTCCCGGTAGCCTAACCACTAAACCACCGACGCCACTAATGGGGATAATAATAAATAATAATAAATAGCTTTTGTATAGCGCATACCACGGCTCAACAGCAGGCTCTATGCGCTTTACACTATATTATTACCCCAGCAGACCATAGAACACTCAGAAACATTCTCAGCTTCCCGGGAAGCATATAGTGCAAGCAGCTGATTAAGCGCTCAAATACTAACAAACTGACAAGATCTTTCTCTGTCTATAGCCGGGTACCCATTCTCACCTGAATGAAGTGAGGAAAATTCGTGTAAAGTGCCTTTCCCACGGACACAACGTACCGGGTCCCTGACGGGATTCGAGCCCACGACCTTACGATTGCGAGTCCGA